TATATATATATATATATATATATATATATATATGAATAAAAACTACTTACATAAAAATATCTACTTATACGAAACATAGAAGGACAAAGACGGAATAAAACAACCTAAAAAAAACTGGATCAAAACTCATCAAAAATTGCTTTCAAAGAATAGTAAGAAAATTGACAAAATGACACCAACACAACCTAAACTTGACAAAACAATAAAAAGGGCATATAAATAGCAAAATTTAGACAACAATTGCATCATAACAACAAAAACTGCACTAAAATTGGCCAAAAACCAGTGTGAAAAGTGATAATAAAAAGGATTTAAGCATTTGGAGGTATTATTGTCATTTTAGTAATGTTATCTCAGGAAAAGTTATCTTGATATTGTTATTTCACCACGAGGGAGGGATAAATTACCCCAACGCTATTTATTTATTTTAGGATAAGTTATCCCATCATGTGTAACTAGAACTGTCAATATGTCTGACCGATCCCGTGAGCTAATCCGTACAAGCTTTGAAATTTGACGGGTCAAATCGGACTAACTCATTTTTTGTTGTATAGAAAATGATCGACCCAGCCCACAAGTTTTGCCGAGTCGGTCTTTTTTTCTTAATAACATATTTTTATAATCTTTTCAATTAAATTATAAATTTAAAATAGACTTAAGTCATATACAACCACTTAAAACTGTTCATATAGTTCACATAGTCATTTTAATTTAGATTTGTACCTATTAAACACTTTAACTTTAAGAAATTTTTATTTGTTTGAAATAAAATGACAATCAGCTAAATAACAAAGATGCGTGTACTTCAATCGCATATACACACCAGATCTACCAATAAAATAATGCCAACTGACATTGAATTTTTTTTTTTTACAAGCTCTATTTAAATAATCCAAAAAGAATTTTCAGAAAATAATATTTTATTTTTTAAAATTAATCCTCCATGTTCTTCGAGACCTATTTCCCCTTTCATGCCGACGCCGGCAAATACACCACCACCCAAGCTTAATATCCATTTTTTTTCATTTTAATAGCATCAAAATTTTCTATTCATTGCCATAATTTTTCTCATATTAATAATCACTCATCACAATTACAACAAATAATTTCGAACTTTTCCAAAAAAAAATTGAGTTCATATCTTTTCCATCAAAATTAATGGCACTTCACCGAAATATTTGAGACTTAAATCCATATAAGAAAAAAGAAACAGAAGAAGAATTAGTGAGGGGTTAAGAAAGAGAAGAGACTTTCTTTTCCTTTTTAAGAAAATTACTTTTTCCCCTTTTATATTTCCTCTGTCCGATATTATTTGTCACCGTTTTTATTTTTAGAGGCAAACTATAAAAACATTGATTAGATGTAATTTTTTCATCATATTAATATGTAAAAAATTGTAATTTATAGTACTTTTCATACAGTTTTAAAATATCTATTTTTTTATTTAAAATATCGAATTAATGTGATCCAATTTACCTTCGGAAATTAGTCAAATTAAATTTCAACATGTGCAACATGACAAATAATTTCGGACGAAGGGAGTATTTGTGACAACCCCCTCGGGATTCACATATTCAGGTATTGTCTCTGCCATGGGCGGCCATTCGCTCTTTTAATCCCCTCTTATTGGCATGCAGCCTCAAGGGAGAATCGAACCCGTGACCTATGACTCCTTTACATCCCTCCCAAGGAGATCGCCTCTTACCAATTGAGTTGCGCCCATGGCAGAGACAATACCTGAATATGTGAATCCCGAGGGAGTTGTCACAGTATTAATTTAGGTGTATAAGTTAGAGAAAAAAAGGAAAAAAATATTAATTTCAACACATTTTTTGTCTTCTCGGCATTTTGTGTCTAATAAAATGACTTTTAAACAAATAAGGTGCTTAATAGGAATAAAAATAAGTTAAGGTGTTTTAACGAAATATGCAGATGACTTAAGCCTTAAGAATATTATTATAAATATTGATTAGACGATATTACATGGCGTTAGTGTTGCTACTTGTTAATCAAATCCACAAATAAAATTATCTTTACGATATTTTCAAATCCACAAATAAAATTATCTTTACGATATTTATTAAGTTTGATTTCAAGTAAAAACATAAATAGTTAAGTAGAAATATCAACCTAATTGTTTTCCAATGATCATAATAAAACACAAAAACTATGCCAATATTCCATAGGCTACGATCTATGTAGGATCCCCTAAAAATATTAGCGAATCTTTATTTTATGTAGTACATATTTTATAAATATAATTTGTGTTTAAATTGTAATATTTTATACTTTAAAAAAATTTTGAGTATAGACTTTTGTTATTTTCAATACTCTATTTTATTTTTATTTTTTCATTAATTTTTATTTGGCCCACGAGCCTAACCTATCCATATTTCTTAAGTTTCACAAATCGCAAGTTTATTCAGGCTGAAATAAAAAACTCTTTTTAAAAATGGGATCCAAAATTCGTGGTCTAACCTTATCAAATCACGAGGTAGGTCAGGCTAGCCCAACAGACTTAGCCCATATTTACAGTTTTAGAAATGGGAGTGAGTGTAATATTAACTTTTTATGCTATTAGGTGTATTTCCTCATTTATCGTCTTATTCAAAAAGTGAAGGATTATCGTTTCTCAAATTCAAAATCTTAAGGGGGGAAATGAGTTTTCGAAAAATATATTTTCATTAGTTTATCAAAATTTGGCAAGATTTAGTGATTTACTAACCATATTGGAATATTTATTTGCTTGACTAGAAACTTGATTTATTACCATATAAATTTATTTTGTTACCATAATTTTTGACATGATGCAAGGAATATACTTTTGTACTATTTGGCTAGAAATTTATCATAACTAAGAAGAATCTTTTGTATAAATAATCATCTCATTTCATTTTTTATAAGCACCACATTTTCTCAAGTGTTCTTACCAATAAACTTATTTTTTAGAAAAAATATCTTACATCAAAAGTTGAGTCATGGAAAAAAAAAGACTTTAGGACGTCAAAAGATTTCAATGGTCAAAATAGAAAATGAAGATGCTCGATACACAACATTTTCAAAGCGTCGATCAACATTATATAAAAAAGCTAGTGAATTGGTTGGAAAATACGATGTTGATGTGGGGATAACATTATTTTCTCCGACTGATAAACCCTACTCTTTTTTTCACCCTACAGTTGATGTTGTTGTTGATCGTATTCTCAATCCAAATACACAGCCAAGTGAAGATAACAGCATCGCGATTGCAAGTTATCGAAACAAAGTGAAGGATCAAAAAGTTGAGCTTGACGAGCTTGATATCATAGAAAGAGGTATATCTAATTCGACATTTGGCACTAAGGAAACTAACATGAAAAATATATGGGAATCCTTTATGAAATTTAATGAAGATGAGGTGAATGAACTCGAGCTTTGGCTGAACTCTATTGATTTTGATTTGAAAAATTATTTATCGCAGCTGGAAAATAATGTTTCTTCCTCTACACAAGCACCTCCAAAAAATGTTGGTTAGATATATATATATTGATTCCTAATATATTGAACTTCATGGGTTGTAATAATTAGATTCACATTCATACATTTTCGAATGTTCTTTTGTTTTAAAATTTAGTAGTGTTACTTGAATTCATTAGTGATCTTCATTTATTTGATGTTTGAGTCGTTTGTTGATATAGTCATGTACTATTTGAGAATGCGCCTCTTTGTTACCTGTGGTTTGGATGACTAGGTTTAATCGAGCTTGTGGTGTTGTATTTTGTTCCTAGTTATATTAATAAATTGATAGTGATTTGTTTGATTTACTTGCTTTATTAGAGAAGTTTTTTTCGTAACAACTATTATTATTATTAAGTTTTCACTATAAAATTTGGGAAATATTACCTATTAAGATATATGATTGAATCAAAATAATTTGTACTTCATTCAAGCATCAACACATCATTTTTATCCTATATTTTAAAATTATTTTCTATCGTTCCCAAAAAGTACAAAAATCCTTATTCTCCACAATTTCTCTCAATATTCATGATATATCACTATAAACTATCACCCAGTTATTTTTTCTTTTTCAAACCTAAAATCACTCTATGATATTACCATTTGTCTTCATCACTTTATTTTTGAATGTCAAATATTTTCTCTTTCCGACTTATTGATTTCAAGTTATTGAAAAAACTTCTTCATTTTGTGTTTATTTTTTTTTCAACTCTGACACAAATCCTCTTAAAACTTCTCTATCTCCTCACCCGTCACGCCAGTCACCATCCTCCATCAACTTTCGTTTCCACCCTCACCCATCAATAACATCCGATCAATCCTCATTTGTGAAGATGACATCAAATTCGATACTTTAACATCTCACAATTTTAAATAGCTAGAAATAAGCTAAGAAACTATAGAAAGAAAAGGAAAAATCTGAAAAATTGCCTTAGGTAAGAAATTAAGTTTTGGTCATTTTCAAACAGTCATAACTTCTAGATCAAGATTATTTAGAGGTAGTTCTTGATATAGTTGGAAAGTCCTTGGAGAGATCTTTCCAACGCCGCCGAGTTTGCACATTTCGATATTATGAGGGAGATATGCCTATCGAGAGTTGGACTGTTGAAGTAAAGAAAGTCTCAATCCGGATTTAAGAAGGGCAAACTAGTCTTTTCACCAATTAATTTTTCTATTTCGTTTTAGGGGTTTATTGGGGGTAAAAAATGAATTTAGTTCAGTTTTGAAAAATCAAAATCACGCTTAGGCTTGGAGAAGAGAGAAAAGAGGAAGGAAAAGGAGAAAAGTAAAGAATTCGCCAAAAACATCAAGATTTGCGAGTGGAATTCGTCGGGTGTGACACTTACCAAGTTATGTGAGATCTTTAGTGTTGGGCTAGTTCACCCACACACCAACTTGTTTAGATTCAGCGATTTTGAGTTGGTTGAATGATAAAAAGTGAAGTTTTTGAAGAACATTGTTGAATTCTTGTTGGTTGAGTTGTCGCATGCCTAGTGTTGATTTGATTCGTGTTTTTGAGTTTATTTTTGAGTCAAATCTATTGTGTCTAGAGGGTACTAATGATCCTAAATGTTTGGGAAAAGAATTATGGAAGTTTAGAGGGTTTAGAGATGAAAAACAAAGCAGAAACGATGAGAACGCCTAATTCATAATACAATTCAAGGAAAGTTAAGATCAAAGTCAAAGAAGTCAAGAGTCAAGTCTATATGTTAAGAAGCAAGTTAAGGTAAAGTTTTTAAGAGTTCTCAAGGGTCTTTAACAACGGTTTAGCTTTGTTTGAAGACTCAAGTTTCAAGTTAAGTAAAGAATAAAGAGTTGAAGTTCTTCATTCAATGAAATATATGGGAACTAAGTATTCTCTAAGAGTTGATTTAAGACTCAAGTTTCAAGCTAATGTAAAGAGTAAAGAGTTGAGTTCACTTCTCAAAAAGTTATTAAGGAACTAAGTATTCCCAAAGAAGTTATAAATGTTTTCACATTTGAGCAAGAAAAGGAAACACCGATTTCAAAGGAGCCTTTGGGCTAAGCATTGAGTAATTATCTCAAACTAAAGAAAGAAGATGCTTTAAAAGTATGAGCTAATATTTTGGGAGTAGTATTGGGCACCAATGTGGGGTGAGAGTTCATTTCAACTCAAGTCTCCATGAAAACCATGTAGCTATATCATGGGTATTAACAGGTCATACTTTTTACTGATCACGTAAGTTAAGTTAGTAGATCCACTAAATTAAGTAGTTCTATGCGACAATAAAGTATAAGATAGTTCTGGCAGCGTTGGCAAGACGCCACTTAGGCTCATAGTGGTGGTTGTCGGTTAGAGAATCTCCCATAAAAATTATATTACTTCATATATAAGTAAAGCTGAGTTTGTTATTGCATTTTATTTAACGAATTGAGTGTTTTTCATTGTTTTACAAGCTTTATATATTGCATGTGTTTAATTGTTTTATATTAAGTCAAGTTATTCATGAGTTGAGTAGAGCCAAGGTAAGTGTTCCTTCTTACTCTTTTTCAAGCTTAAGTTGTTGTTAGCGTTTCAAATCGCATACTCGTACGTTCAACCTGATGCCAGTTGGCTTGCATCATATCATAATGCAGATACAGATAACCAGGATCAACATCATCCAGCGCCTCGTTGATCCAACTGAGCACTCGGAATCAGTGGTGAGCCTTCTTGTATTATGGAGGACACATTTGTTTGCTTTTCAGTCTTTCTTTTATGAGATGTTGTAGGGTCTGTCCTAACATCCATCATAATATTATAGAGGCTTCATAAACAGTCAGACAATTAGTATTGAGTCTTTTATCTTTGTATTGCAGATATTTTGCTATTAGACTTAAGTGTCATTTTAGTCAAGTTACTTATTTTAAGTTATATTATGAGATTCTATTCTTTTAATGAGATAAGTCAGGCCAAGGGTCCGCACGAAGAGAGTAATGATCTTCGAGTGCCGGTCACGTCTAAGGTATAGGCTCGGGGCGTGACAAACTTGGTATCAAATATTAATGTTGATATATAAACACTAATATTTTATAATAAAATCATTTTGTATCATATTCATAGTTATGTATATGACACATAACTTTTTTATGTATATAATACAGTTATGTATCAGATTTTGTGATGTATCACTCAACCTTATTCAACTAGAATGTATTTGTAGACAATATCAAATATTAAAGTTGATATATATTACTAATATTTTATAACAAAATCAATTTGTATCATATTCGTAGTTATATATATGACACATAACTTTGTTATGTATATAATACAGTTATGTATCAAATTTTGTGATGTATCACATGTTACAATGTAACAAAATAAGGGGATTAATAGACACTACAATTTTGTTCCATGCTTAATTCTTTTTGTCCATCACACCAAACAACTCCTATAAACCACTCAAACGTTATCCCGAAATTAACTTTTTTTATCAATCATATCAAACGAAACCCTAAATATATAATAATTATTTTGATCAGAAATCACAAATATAATTTTAATTGTACGAAATCAAATGGAACTGAATGCAAAATAGGAATAGGAAGTATAATAGACATACTTGTTGGTGTAACTTAATTCAAAGGGAAAAATATTTACCGTTTTGAAATGCTGCTATAAGGAGGAACTGAGACCATATACCATATCCAATTCAACACCAAATTCTATATTTGATGTAAAATTTGTTGTTTATAGCTTCAGTTTTTCACACCAAATTTGGTGTGTGAATAGTGTTACACCAAATTTGGTGTAACATATTCATAACATCAATTCACTTTTGAATATTATAATATACAAATTTTACACCAAATATAGAATTTGGTGTTGGATTGGAGATGGTCTCAGTTCCTCCTTATAGAGTATTTAATTTGGTGTTATATATTATAATATTCAATGTATTTAAAAATAACTGAAAATAATAAATATTCAACAAAGTAGTAATTGACATACATCAAAATTGAAATGTAAAATAAATAATAATTTTAAAAAGTACAAAAAACTATAATAATTTTAAAAAATTACAATAATAACTTAATAACTTGATAGATTCTTTCCGGATTCATCAATACTATAAAAATATGAATTGTATGAGATCAAAAATTGTTGTGGTTGTGATTGCGATCGTTGAAATTGTTCTTTTCGAACGATTTCACAAACATTTCAAAGCTTTGTGTTCTATTTTGAACTACCTAATGCATTAATAGAACATTTATGGGAGTACCGTATTGATTTTGAAAGTTGAATATTTACGTAGAATTTAAAATAATTTTTTAATTATGTAATGTTTATTTAATTATTTTCCACTAATGATTTTACTTTGATTTGTATTATAAATTATAACGCATAATGTATAATATGCTAGCAATTTATATATTTTAAAAATTATGGCATACAATAATTTTATATCAAACGATTATAAAAGATAATGATATGAATTATATTATGGTGAATGTATTAGCAAGAATTTGTTTTATGAACTAATAAAATATAATAAAAAATAATAATATAATAATGAATTTTTTTATTTTATGTAAAAAAATTATTACAAGTGGTTAGAATTAATTACACCAGATGCTAATGTTGGGAATTTTGTAAGAATCGGACGGTGAATAATAAACCTCAGGACTTATTGTAATCCAACGGCGCCAAATCGATTCACCACCAAAGGTTATAAATATCAACACAAACCCTACATTCGATTTTTCCCTCTTTCATCTCCTGTAATTGCAGTTGCAGCTCAACTGCAATACAGTATCAGCAGGACCACCGCCATTTTCTCATCTTCAAGCTTACATTTCTCTCTTTTTATACACTAAATTTACAGACTTTGTAATGCCTGCACTTGTTGAAAGTGAAACAATGGCGTCTGAAGATTTGAAGAAGCTGAAGAAGAGCGGAAATGGGTCATCCGCCGACTCCCATAAGAAGTCGAAGAAGACCAAGATTGATTATGGGTCTGATTCAGAGGAGATAAAGAAGAGTAAGAAGAAAGATAAGAAGCGTAAAGCTTT